ATTTAAGCTAGAGATATAATATAGCTGTATATATTAAAATTACCTTAATATAGTACCTTAGTTATTATATTCTACTTAAAATATATACTAATTTAAAATCTATATTCGATTATATTCCTAAATTAGAAACTACTAAAGAGAAGAGGCTAATAATTAACGTAATATACTTACGTAATATATTTAAAACAAGAGATATTAATAATATCTCCTTAATAGAAGGGAAGAATAATCTAGCTAATTTAATAACTAAATCGAAGTTAAATAGCGTCTTATAACTACTAATTAATATAAACTATATCGAGATTAATAGAGTCGAATAAATAGAACGGGATTAAAGAGCGTACTATTTTATTATTATTTTATTATTATTTTTACGGTTATTTATAAAGTTATTTTATACTTTATTATTTACTATTTTTCGGCTATTTTAACTACTTTATAAAAGTACTCCTAGCATTATAATATATCTACTACTTTTATTACATAGGTATTAGAAAGCTTAGTATATATAAGTACTTACTTATATCTAGTACTTATTCTTTCTATAATATTAATTAAGTAACTATTATATTAACTTTTATATACTTTTATTACTACTATTTTTAACCCTTATTTACGAGTATCTCTCGTACTAATAGCACTATTTAAATAAATAGAAATAAGTATTTATAAATAAACGAACCTCTAAAACTAAAGAGAAGCTTTTTAACCTACGCTATACTATTCTATAAAATGTTATTAAACGTATTTTTAGCGTTTTAAAAACTAAGTTTAAAATATTATAAGTACTAAAGAGATTTAAAATATAAGTATAAGCTAAACTTATTCCTACTCTATATATTTTATATAATACATTAAGCTTAATTATAAGCCCTAGCTATAGTAAAGGAATAGAGCTAGAGTTCGAAGACTATAAGAATAAAGATAATAGAGATATTACATTTATAGATAAGACTAGATATTATACTAATCCTTATACTAGGGTATTAAGAAACGAGATAAGAGATCTAATTACTACTATTATATAAGAGGTAGAGTTAGAAAGAAGACGTAGATAACTTATATGTATTCTTAGTATTATTACGTTACTATAGCTGTTTTTTAATAAGATACCAGTAATAAAATATAGTAAATAAGAAACTAGTTAAGTTAAGTACTTAATTATACTATTATAAAAGTAGATAGTTTATATATAGCTAGCTAATAAAGGTTCTTTAATAAAGTAGATTTATATAGTTTTAGGATAGATTACGTAATTTTAATAGCTAGAAGTAAGCTATAATATAACATTACTTTATACTCTAGTTTTCTTAGTTAAAAGTAGTCTAATTTAATTAGTTTTTATTTTATTTAAAAGATATAAATCTAAATATTAATTTCTAATATTAAGAGTTAAGTTTATTTATTAATATTATTATAATAAAGTAGAATATAAAAGTTATAATTAGTAATAGCTTACTTATTAATAATAGTAACTTATAGCTAAGTTTTATAAAATAGTAGAATTATTATTATTATTAATTAAATATAAAAATAGAATAAATAAAATATCTACCCTTTAAAATCTATACTAAGACTTATCTAAATCTATTTCTAGTTCTTCTACTAGTATTATAATATATTATTTAAGAGGATTATTATACATACATTCCTAAAGTATTAATATAATCTAGGTTCTTTATCAGTTCTTATTACCTTCTTTTACTATTAGATATTCTATTATAAACTCTAGTACTCGAAGAATCTTTGTAATAATAATTATACTAAGATTAGTTAAAAATAGCTTATTCTATACTTTTAAGAGCGCTTATTTATATAAGGTCTTATTATATATATCTTTTAATCAATTCTTAGATAGCCTTTCTATAGCCCTTACTATTTAATTAATACTCTAGCTTATATTATTAAGACTCTTAGGTTCTAAAGGTTTCGATTATTTACTTAATAGTAGATCTCTTAATAAACTATACTTATTTACCTTCTAGGATTTAACTTAGAGGTATTTATTAATTAAATAGCCTTTTATTATATATTTAACTATAGTTTCTTATTCTTTGATCTTTTGTTCTTATTTAACTTTTTAGGCTTTTTTACTTTTAAGACTTATTATTCTTACTACTATGGTAAACCTTATATATATCTACTTCGATATTTAATTATTATACTTATTTTATAGTAATAGAGTTACTAATATTCTCTGTATAATTAAGTATAGGATTAACTATAAAACTCGCTTATTCAAGTATAGAATCATCTATAGTTTTAGGATCTATAGTATTAGAATTAGTAGAATTATTAGAATTATCTAAGTCTTTTAAATCTTAATAATTAGTATTAGGGTATTCTTACGTATATCTATATTTACTACTAGTAACCTTCTTTTTATTAAGCTTAGTAAGAGTATAATAATAAGAAAAACTCTTCTTCTTCTACTATTTTATTTCTAGGTATTTCTATAATTATATTAAATTAATTAATAAATTAAAAAAAAGGAGTATTTACTATAAGATAATTAGCCTAGACAAGTATATTTATAGTAGTAATAGAGCGTTCCTTATTCTAGCTAAAACTAGAATTCTTATATAGTTTATATATAACTTTAAAATCCTTTTATAAGATACTATATTTAGATTAATAAAAGTGTTCTTATTTACGTAGAGTATATTAATTTCCATATATCTTCTATATTCGTTTAGGAAAGTTACTCTTACCTACTTCGCTATCTTCTCGCTTCTCTTATATAAACTCTAGGAGCTTAAAAATTTTATCTTCTATCTACTTTAAATAGCCTCTCTTTTATAGGCTATAGCTTATAATACTTACGTTTAGGTAGGTTACGCTAAAGGTAGACTTTGTAGTAAGTCCTAGGTAGTAGAGTCTTAGGTAGTAGAGACCTAGCTAGTAGAGTCCTTAGATAATCTACCTAGTAGTATAGGATTATAGTTCTTCTTTTTTCGCGCTATATTATATATATACATATAAAAGTTAGAGAATCAAAAGAGTTAAAAGAGAAAGAGAAGATAAAAGGAGTATAATTATTTAGTTAAGTACTTAGTTAGATAGAACTAACTAAATTATAGTATAGTACTAAAAATTAGTTATGTAAATAGAACCTATAAAAATTAATAAATATATAATAATATAGAAAAAACTTTTATAGGAGCTAAATAGTAGTATATTTATTTCGTTATTATAGTCCAATTTATATATAAATTGGGAAACCTTTATATAAGCCCTTAGGGTCCTCTAGCCCGTGTAAATCTTCGACTTTTGCACCTGTTTTATATAGAGAGATTTGCGTAGCTAAACACCCCCTTAGTTGAGGGGGAAATGGTATTTGGTGAGAAGAAGGTCTGGTGCTGCAAATTGCAGCTATTTTGTTATAGACTTGGGGGAAATACTGGCTCGAATAGATAATGATTATATGATATTGTTTGGTTAAAAGTGCCTTTTTGGAGACGTGGGAGGTGAAACGTGACTTTCTCAGGACTACTGTCATTAGAGAGTGGCGTAATGTACTTCAGTTTCAAATTTGTAACATGAACCAGGGGAGTTAAGTAGTAAGGTATCTGCGCTCTTCAGGTCATATAAGACTCATCTTGAATGAGAGTCATGTGAAAAGTGGTATAAAAGTCGCAAGGGGTGTGTAGACGAATTTTAATCTGTAGTAAGGATGTGGAGAAGCAGAAGGATATTTGAGTGACCTGGTCAGTGGTTTCGCCAGAAGATAAATCAAAATTATTCATTTTACCTTCTGAATAAAAGAGAGATTTTATACCCCGAAGTCACTCATAACAGTATGTGTGTGTAATGCAACGTGGTTGGTTTTTACAGGGCGGAATATAGCTCCAACTCTTTCTTGGGAATCAAATCTTTTCCCCCCTCTATGTTCTGAGAATCACTGGCGATAGAAAGAATTTCTTGACTGGGCGCCCAATATCAATTTAGCTCTTACCCTGTTGCCCCCGCTCAGGTGAAACCGTTGCTACTCTACAAAGCCATGTAAATATTCCGACTCAACCCTGGGGCGGCTTTTGGTTTTGGTTTTGGTTTTGGTTTCAATCTAAAGCGTATTTTATGACATACTGGGAGTTTTTATATTTTATTTCCAATGGGAGTTCTAGGCATTCCTATCAACCGCAAAAAATAAATCACGATGTTTTCAACCCGACGCCCCCAAAATTGAAATGCAAACGAAATGGAAGAAACCCCATGTACAGTCAATTTAAAAGGTATCAGTCTTGCGACTGAAAATTCAGAGGAAACCTACCGGCTGCGGCCGATTATTGTAGCAGACGGTCGCAACGACCACCTCGCTTATTCCATTTCCGGAAAGGGGCTGGTGGGGCTGCATTCTTGAGCAAGCCACGAACAGCCCGTGCGATCGTAACTATTGTCCGCTCCAGTGCCGCGCATTGTCAAAAAATAACACACAGTTTGCAAGTATATGTAGGACGAATTTCTGGACGTTTTCCGTTCAAGAAGGAAGCCAGACGTCACTTGTTGATTTCCAGTGCCGTTGAAACGGAAAATAATTTCATGGTAAGATGAGCTACTCCCTAAAAACATCAAAATGAAAAACCACACTCTTGTGAATACCCGGCAACGTTTTCGGAGTTTTTCTGGTCTCAGCCCAATGCATCCCCGCATCCGGTTTCCTGTAAATCGTAAAAAGACAATTACATCTGCTGTCAGGCTTGTACGAAACCAGCCTCGACCTCAAAGGCTCATAAGCCATAACAAATTTTCCAAATTCAAATAAAGACCAGTACAAAGCACTCAATCCACAAATAAGAAGTTCCCCCCTGCAACGAAACGACCCTCAAAGAGAAGAGTTTTGGCAGAAATCTATTTGTATTTCTCGTACAATCCTGTCCAAGGCTGTCTCCAATTGTTGTCCAAAAAACACATTGTTTTTTTTCTGCACAATCCTCGCGACTGCGAAAAAAGGTCGACCGCCCCCCTATCTCGCTCTCGCTTAAGCACCACCTCTTCTCAACATGTCTTATCCACCATTACCCGACAGCGATAATGACAATAACGATGATTTTCCACTCGAGGACGAAAACATCGATGATGATGATAAGGATGAAAGAGGATACAGCTCAGCCACCGCTGCCAGAAGAAGAAGAAACCAAAGACGCGCCGAAAGATATTTAGACGAGTTGAAAAGGTCAGACCCCCAGTCTCAGGTGCCAATGGAGTTGGCAGGTCTATCAGCACCTCCCATAGCTGCAGGATACGACATAGACCCAGATTATTTGACCTGGTTCGGCAAATCTCCGAGTTCGCTAGGACCTCCGACGTTGGGTACCGCAGCTCAAGTGGTTGATCAGGCACAGCCAATTGGTCGCCCCGAGTATCCTCTGGAATTAACTGGGCAATCATATCACAGCAACGCTCTGCCCCAAGTTCAAGATGCTTCCATTCCAGATGATATGCGTCAGCTGATTCCGGCTACTAAGCGAGAAAGGCTAAGGAGACCTAAAATCGCTCGAGACGCTGAGATCGTGGCGAGACAGAGGCCGAATTATGAGTATTGGGAAGACCCGGCTGATCCGGATCCGCGAGAGGCTATTGATGATCATCCGCGTAGGAAGAACGAACGGGTGAAGGACTGGAAACTGCGGGTGTTGAAAGCCAGATCAGACCTAGGCATCCAAATGAAAGATTTGCCCCCGGAAACCAAAGCTGAATTACTCCCGTCAGCGGGTAGTATGAGACCAACAGAATGGAGAGTTACAACGAATAAACTGCATCGAAAGAGGTTGAAGGAAGATAAGGCGTATAATGCCCAGTTTCATCAGGAGAAAAAGAACCGACAGGAAAACAATAAGAGGATTGACGACAATCTCTTACAGAAAGTACGAGAGTGGCAACAGCGCAGAGGCTTGCCCCGCGAGCCGACTCCAGACCCTGGGGAGGATAGTGGGGATGGATTGTGGCACATGGAATTTTTGAAAACCATGCATGACGTAACGAAAAGGAGATGTAGGGAATGCGCATTATCAAAATATGCTTGTTCTTTGGTGGAGTTTCCCAATATACATCCTTGCACATACTGCTCCCGAAGAGAGTTCAAATGCGAGCCATACATACCTCATTATAAAGTGAGAGGAGCTCCCCACCTGGCCGGCGAGCTTTACGAGGTGCCTCCGACAACGAAAGGCAAGCCCAGAGTAGAAGATACCTTGAAGCGCTTTGATTATCTGAAAGCGTACGATCCGGCACTCGGTGGAAATCCTGAAAAGTATAAGATCGATTATGGTGCCGCGAAACTTGCAGCGGCACATCCATATCAAAGCCATCCACAACCTTATAGGAGCAGAACACCTCCAGGAGAATCCAGGGATGGAGTCAATCCAAGTCGAGCAAGACTCGAGGCACTACCGGCCGACCAACGAACCACGACTGAGACTCCACGAAGGCGACGGTCACGCAGTCCCCTTCGTGACCGCCCAACTGATATCGGGCGCTTGGGGAGAGACTTGTCGACGGCCGACAGACAAACCACTCTCCTATCGTCCACACCTCTTCCGGGTCCGGGGACAGGAGACGAATTCGGTGGTACTGAGGATCTTCTTTTCGGCGATGAGGATCTCTATAATGCGAGCCCCCCTCGACCTGCTCAACCTGCTCAACCTGCTCAACCCGCTCAACCCGCTCATAATGTACCCTTTCCAGAATTGCCAGCCGTGGTCCTGGAATCTGGTGCACGGCTCCATTTTGGAGCTTGCAAGAATTGTGCTGATCATGGTCTCGACTGTGACAACGTGAGACCTTGTGGACATTGTCGACAATTGAATCTTCCATGCGACGAGTTGTTGGTTCGCGTATCGAACTTCCACAATCTGCCCTTCCGTCCAGCCCCAACGCCCGCCGCTCAGCCCAGCACTGAAGATTCGGGTCAAGGAAGGTCTTTCGCAGATGTCACCAATTTGGCTTTATCCAGCCTGAACTTATGGGGACAAGTTGAATCCCAGCGAGCCGATGCAGTACAACCAACGGAAACATCTGAAGATGGAGCAGTCAACCTTATTGCCGCCGCTCAGCAACCCGCCGTAACGACAAACGTGGACTCTGAGGGAGACTTTGATATGGGCCAATTCTTGAACGCAAGCCCAGGGAACGTCAGCAAAATGAATCGGGAGCTTGAAAATCCATCCAATTCACAACAAATAGTATCCGCAAGCCCGACGGGATTCGCAAGGCTCACCTCACGTATAAGTCCCTTGAGCGCAAGCCAAGATCGCCAGAACCTCGCTAACGAAACTGGATCACAATTCCATTACGCCTCCACAGAACAAAGTATCGTCCCTAGCGCCACACTGCAAGATCTCGCCGCGGGTGGAGGTAGCCCTATGGACTTCATGACCGAATTGTCATTCTTACAACCCATCAACTCCCCCCTGAGGGGAGGAGCAGAGGTGCAATTAACACACCGTAGTCTCCAGCGACTCAACGGATACATGCTGATCGATTTCTACGACCACGCTCATGACGAGGAGAAAGCCCTCAAAGCCGAAGATTTCCTCATGACATTCCGAAAATGGAAGCCGGGCATGATCAAGAATCCTCCCGACAACAAGAACATTCCCTGCATACAGGACTTGGATTGGAATGCGAAACTCAAAGGCTTGAAGGGTCCTGCTTCTGATCCTCGCTTCTGTTTCAACACCCCAAGTGCGAAATGTGAGACGACTGGCCATAATTCCGCATTTGGAAATGCAGACGGTCATATATGTGAATACTGCCATATGATACAAGAGGGCGTTGCTATGGAAATTTCACGGGCCGACACACAAACTCACAAGGCATACATGTGTACAGAGTGCGCTGTAGAGGCATCACAAGATGCGGATATCTTGAGAGGAGAGTGTGTCTGCAGGGAAACGATGGCTCTAAATACGGTGTGTCATCCACATTTCGAAAGTGGATGGAAAGAGATACAACTCAAGACCGTGAGTGCGAATGAATGGTTGTTGAGGAACTTTGGCCAAGGAGAAGAAAAATGTGTGGTGTGTGCTGAGAGGGGTCCGCAGCCATCAGGTGGAGTGTATGTCTGTAAGGCTTGTCACTCCATTGTGAAGGATTGGAATTAGTGAGAATCATTTCGTATGTGGGAACAGAGGAGCAGGGAGTTTGTTCTTTGAAAGTTATTTAATATATTAGTAATGTCTTGGTTAAAGAGACAGAATTCTCGCTTATGTGAAAGTTTCCCTCCCTCCCTGTTTGTAACTAAAGCCCATCTTAGGGATGACTGCTTAGCAAAAACAAAATAGTGAATTACACATCAACCCCATTACCACCAAGAGTATCTTGCATAAATAAAGAAACACTTCCCACAACCTAAGATCCCCCCAAAAAGAAAGCAACCAGCAGAAAACACCAAACTGGTATTTCATACCTCGCTTATCCCAAGCCAAACTTAGTATCTGGTAGCTAGAGAAGTACTGCAAGGCACCAAGCAATCCAAGTACTAAGATTTCACATTCGTAGCATTATAGGAACGCACTAGCTGAATATCACTCTCACTCTTGTTCCTGTTATCCTTTAAAGATCGTCGTATATATAGAGCAATAGAGTAAGAAAAGTACTAAATACAAACCCAAGGATCTCACAAATCCACCACAACAACACCACCTCTCCTCAACGCAACCCTCCCTAGCCTACCAAGAAAGGCGATACCCCCCTCATCTTCTCATCTAGACTCCAACTATCAACACCAACCACCCTACCCTATTCCCTTCACTGCATCAGTATATGATTTCCCAAATTTGGTTTGTCAATTAACATCCTCATCCTCATCCTTGTCTATACAGAGTAATAGAGTAAGAAAAGTGCTGAACATAAACCCAAGCATCTCACAAAGCCACAAAAATAACAACACCTCACGCCAAAGTAACCTTCATGGTCAACCAACAAACCGATACCTTCCTCTTCCTCTTCTTCTTACCCAGACCCCAATCACCAATATTAACCACCCAACTCTCTCCTATCTAACAAAATCCCACCAAACCCCCAACTCAAAAACACAATTAGGTCCAGCACAGTACTTACCAAGTTACCAAATCTAAATCCAACTCAACGCCCCCCTCCCCATCCAGCATCCACCATCCCCTCCTTTCCCCCACCAGCAGAACCTCTTTACCCCATCCAAGCTCCATAAATCAAATCCATATTCACTCCCTCCCAACCCCCTCACCCTCACCCCCTCCCCCGCACCAAAAAAAACCCCTCAGAACCAACCAAACAAACAAACAGAAATCCAAGGGAAACCATAACCGAAAAAGCAATAAACTTTAAAATCAAAAGAGTCATCCATCCATCCAATAATCTCCTTACAGTACCTACCCCGCACACTAGCAAGCAAGCGCCTACGACAGACAACGACGTGCAATTCACAGATGGAATGAACAGACAGACAAGAGGAAGCATGCAAAAGAAGAAGACCATTGACTCCACTTTTATATGCAACAAAAGAGATAAGATGTGTATCAACAAAAAAGGGAATTTGATCCTCCCCCCCTCTCCACTTAGCCTCCCTCTGATGAAATCTTCATCATCACTAACTACCCTTCCAATCCCCCACAATGTCAAAGAAAATAAGTGACCACCATAAGAATCTCAGAAAATATACCACAAAAGAAGATTAGAGGTTGTCAATTTTTTTTTGCTTCATATTCCTCAAATTTTTGTATACATTCCTCTTTGACTCTTTCTCCACACGATGAGAAACAAAGTCAAAGTTCTTAGTGGCTTGTACCTCATACGACTGCGCCGGGCCCTGCCAAATTATCCTCCCCCACCTCCCTCCTTCCCCTCCTACATGGATGATGGTGACATTACAAAAGTTTGATGGTGTGTGCCCCTGAATAAAAAAGCGGGAGCTATCTTGAAGGGGGAAAAAGTAGAAGAAGAAAAAATGTAGCTGGTAGAAAAGAAGAGAGAAAAAAGAAAAAAACATCATCATCTGACATGTGCCCGAAAAGAAAGAACAACTACAGAATCTTCCATGAAAGATCTGGGTAGAGGGTGTATGTGGCGTGGTGTCTGGCGTAGAACTCCCCGAGGCGAATTTGCTGGTGAAACGCTGCTCCTAGGAATGGAGAGCCGACCAAATATAACAGACATCCTGTAATCATCAACCCATTTTTGTTGCCCCATCTCAAGTTGATCGTTCCTCCTCGAGGCTAGCCCAGTGGCCGTGTTGGTCTCCTCGCCTTGGATCCAAACTCGAAATGGCGCAATTTCCTACTACTCCCCCTGCTTACATTATCACACAACCTCCACAACATCCTCTGTTGTTGCCCTCTCCATCACCAACCTCCATCTTTCCAGGCTGGCCATTACCCGAGCCACCGGAACCTCCTGCTGTGTAACCTGCCATCTCCTTGTTATAACGTCTGATTTCGCGAACAATGTCGTAGAATGCGTTGTCAACATTGATACGGGACTTGGCGGAGGTCTCGATAAACTTGCAACCAAAGGATCGTGCTAATGCTTCACCCTCTGTAATAATGATGATTAGTTTGCGTGGAGCAAGTCGGGAAAAATGGATGACATACCTTGTTTGGAAACCTGTCGCTCACCCTCCAAATCGCACTTGTTTCCTACAACAATAATTGGGAAGTAGTCCTTATCCTTGACTCTCAAAATTTGTTGTTGAAATGTCATGATCTCCTCGAAACTCTGTCTGCTGGTAATGCTATAGACTAATAAGAATCCTTCACCAGTTCTCATGTATTGTTCTCTCATGGCCGAGTATTCTTCTTGACCAGCGGTATCGAGGACATCGAGCAGGGCGACTTCTTCGTCGATAACACATTGCTTTCGATATGAATCTGTGTGAAAGGAGTGATTAGCATGGGATTGAATTGGAATCACTTCTACGACCAAGCGGCGCATTGCGCCCGTGTCAGATCTGCGATCTGAGATCGGTTGACGTGCGTACCTTCAATTGTAGGATCGTACTCATCCACGAAATGACTTTGTATCAACTGAATTGTCAAACACGACTTTCCGACACCACCACCTCCGACGACGACGAGCTTGTACTCTCTCAAAAACTAGATGAAGAGATGGTGGTTAGCACAATTGAGCTTGATCGCACTAGCTTTCTGATTCACGATGCGTCTCACCTTTGACGCCATTTTGAATGGGTGTTGTGTATAATTAATCAGATCTCAACTACAGGACCAAGTCGGTCGTTGGTGAGTGCGATGAAGAAACGTTGGGGGTTCTTGGGCGAAGATTGGCGGATGGTAGAAATTGAAATTTTGGGAGTCGAGGTTGAAGCTGGGGCTGGGGTGGACGTTGGAGCTGGAAAGGGTGTGAGTACAGTCGGCGAAATCAATGCCGATGGCTCGCTGGACTCCAGACGATCTCAGTAGAGTCGGTGAGGCGGAAATATCAGATCGCAGCGAGAGACTTTGGGGAGCGCGATTGTCGGTTCTCTGCTCTGTCAAAAGTTGGAGGATGAGAGAGAGATGAGGGATGGGACGTTGGATTGATTGCAGTGGAAGTGGAAGGCTTGTGCACTTGGGGGGGTGTGAGCGCTGAGGAGATGGAGCGGTACAGTGCCAGTGGTTAGATTCAACAGTCCGACTGGGGGTCCCTGGAAGGCACTAGGAAGGCACTAAACTGCGCTGAAGAGCGTGGGCATGGGCATGGGCATGGACCCAGCCAATGGGATCATGATCTCTGCCTGACTAATCACACGCTTAGCTTCATCGGGTCCGCTTGCCTTCAACCTCGCCAATTCTTCACCGTTGCTTAAAATCCACACTGTGGATCACCTCACCCACTACCTACTCTACTCGAGTAGACTTAGGCACTCTATAATATGCACATATGGCTGCACCACATGCATGCTTTCCTCATGGCACCCCCATCTTACCCATCCTCCATCTTACCCATCCCATCTCATGCCTACGGAGTATGGTTCATGTCAGGCCATGCCGCCATGCTGGTGGATGGATATCATCATAGCCATAGCCCATTGGATAGCCCATTGGATTCAAGAAAGCGCTACTGATGTAGTTGTACTTCTAGCTGTAGCTGCAGCTGTCAAAGTCCAGCTCCAACAATGACATGACACAGACACAGACGCTGGATCTGGATACGGATCACAGCTGTACTCCATACGGACTGGGCCACACTGACTCTGCAAAGCATCGCATCTAACCTTCATCGTCTAGATGGACCAATCACGTTTACCACCGCTTCATGCAGAACAGTGACACAGTTCTTGCATTGCAAGAAGGCTGGTGTTCTATGCATGTTCCAATAATGTTCCAATGTTCTATGTTCCACCTCCATCGTTTCTTTCCGTGTTTCTACAAAGTAGATCCTCCTTCCACCACCACCACCAAGCAACCAGTGATTGAGTCCCAAGGCAATGAGACGCGGCACAGTGCAACCATGAAAGAGAAACTGGACCACATGTCCACAGCTGCAGTGCCGTTTATAGCGTGCATCTCATTCATGCTCTCTCCCAGCTCTACTGGTAGCAGCTGCGGCATCCGCGCAAGCATCGTATCCGAGTTATCTACTGCTATTCTAATACAGTACGAGTATAGAAGTACGATCCAGAACACACGCAGGGCGTACTCGCTCTGATTCCAAATCCTCCTGCCTCGTCCAAAGCCCAAACTACAAGTACGAAGAAAGTTCAAGAAAGCCATGTTGGTCCTTCATCACAAGCCGATTTACACTTTGGATTAATTTGCTGGGGGTGGATCCGCAGCATCAAGAACCTAGGCCCTCGACGTATCTCCCCCACAAATCCTCCCGAAAGTCTCCATTTATCTAGTCTTCCAATTACTTTATTACCGAAACGGGACGGGGAAGTTTACCGGGAGCCCCCATAGTTAGTACTCCGTACTTTAAGTACACTCTAATCTGAAGTTTGTCCTCTTCCTGGGCAAATTTAAATGCCATGCCTACGATCAAAAGTTTAAGAGGAAAAACAAAGCGGTTCAATTACAGGAGAATCGTCTACTTCCGCGGCGTTAACAAGTAAGGTTACGAACGACGCCTTCAGATTCAGCCTCACGGAAGCTATGACCCCTGACTGAAAAGGGCATCCAAAAAGTGTCAAAAAATCGATATCAATCTCAAGTCCAAGCATCTCTACAAGCCATCTCAGGCGCCCCTCGTGGTACTTACGAGTACGGGATATACGACACACGTTTCATGGGGTTCAAACCCTCTTATTCCTCTTTCACCAGATTCGTTTCAATATGTCAGCCAACAGATCAGCCTCAAAACGTTTCACCCAAGAAAACATCAGCTGAAGATCTTTTCTCCCCACGAAAATATCTCCGATGCCAATGGATCCGATTTAATATGCACCCGACCTGTCATAATGCTAAGATAAATCCCAGCGCGAGAGCAAATGAAAAAACTTGAAATTATCCAAGATTTGGGCTAAGACTTGGTCCAATTTCCGAATATCGTCACATTTTCCAATCTTGCTGATTCTGGTCCACGGCACGGAGCTACCGATACCCCCCCTTCCCGTCTCCCTTTTGGACGCACGTACCACACGTGGAATCGAGATGCACAACATTTGTACTTACATGATACAAAGTAAACCCCCCTATTTCAAACCCTCTCGTTAAAAAGGGGCACCCCTGGTTGGAGAAAAGCTGTCAGCTTACGGTGGTGCGGCTAGACACGTGGGAAAATGAGAGTAAGGTTTCTCGCAGGCTCACACCAAAACTCAACGGCGAAGGAGATGCAAGGCTACCGCATGTCCACGGGAAAACCTCTCGGTGTTCCTCGCGAAACTGGAAGTTCGTAGGATGTGGATTCAAGATTGACTGGAAACGATTTTTCCCCAGGACTCAGGAGCGAAAAAGGAAACGAGAGCCCTCCTCTTTGGGCTCGTCTCTCTTGGATAAGAAACCTCGGCCATGGCTCTGGTGTGCCACCTCAATACGAAGTACGAAATGTGAGGGATATTGTTATTGTCCGGTGATGAATTAGGTAAGTCAATAATCTGGGGTAATCAACACACCGCTAATACAATCAAAAATCAAAATTACTTGCTCAATTACTTCCGTCGCTCGAGCGTTTCTAGTACAAAGAAAGTCGTTGCGAGTAAATTGTGCAATCCTTATTACATTACATCACCATCGTCCACCTCGCGATGATCAAATCATCTACACGACTGATCACCCAAAGTACAGTACCTTATCGTCATGGATGAAGTGTTTACCCAGCGGGAAACAAACACCCACGACCCTCACGCCTATCCACGACTTATCCACGGTCAAGAATTGGGATTCAAGCATGCATGAGAAGCTCATTAGCCTAGATTACTGGGGTGTTTTCGATTGAGGAAGAAAAGAGACTTCGTTTCGAGTTAGGTAGGTAGGTGTTCCCGGGACTTGATGAGCTGGACTTTATACGTACGCTGTGTTATTTCTGTGTCTTTGATGATTCTAGGATCGAGGGAGAATCCGAGAATGGATTTGGATCGGACAGCTTGCTGGGGAGGTAGGTGAGTTGTTTTTGTCGCGTGTTCGTCATTTTAGTAAATCCAATGAAGAAAAAAACCCTAAACTAGTTCTAGGTTTATCATACCGTAGTAAATAGAACTTAAAAGGGATGTTATATAGGTACCTAAGGCTAAGAGGGGGTAGAGTACGAAACAATAAAAAACAATATAAAATAGAAGCTCCTAGGTACTCGCTAGAACTTCTTTTATATGCTAGCTATCCTTTTATACGTACTCGTATAATACTATAGAAGATCACAACAAGCGAGGGACCTGTACAAAGCTATTCTTCCAAGTCGCTTAATAGGAAGCTGGTAGAAGTTTAGATACTAGTAACTCTATCTTCCTACCTACCACAGTATTCAATCTAGTTTAATATCCTCTCATCGCGATGGCGATTTATTCCTCGTCCCTGAGATTGCACAGTATTGTATCCTTCTTAAGTTCGATAGACTATGGTACAGAGATACTGGCTCGCCTCGGGCAAATGAGAGCCCTTCTACTCGAGTAGGTGGTATGAATCAAGATTTCGTTAGAATGTTAAGAGGATAAAGGGGGTGAGGGGTTTGAGAATAGGATTGGATTGGATTTGTTTAGCTTAGATGACTTATTAAGTAAGTAAATAAGGTAGTTAGTTTCTTGTCGCGAGTTCGTTATTCCAGTGAAAAATAAGAAGGAGAAGGAGAAAACCTAGACTAGGTCTAGGTGTATTATACAGATAGCTATACTGGCTCGGATCAATGAGATCCCTTCTACTCGAGTAGGAGCTGTAGATCAAGTTTTCGTTGGATTGTTAAGAGGTGGGATATATATGTTTAGGTCTTTCTTCAATTTACAACTTGCTCTGAGATCATGTCGGGTCTAAGTGACATTCTACAAATAGCGGAGTAAGTGAGAGAGAGTGAAAGAGATCCTGTTACTGTGAGGAAACAGGTGCGTCCTCGTCATCTTCTCCCTCGCCTTCTATTCTTTTCCCCTTGACGTTCTTGACGACTTCGTCTACGAGACTTTCCAGAAATTCTTGATCTCTATGTAGCGAATTAGCAACCATTCCTCCTGTCCCTTGATAAAATAAAAGAAAGAAGGAGGTAAAGGAAAGAGAAAGAAAAAAACGAAAGAGAGGGAAAATGAGAGAGACAAAACATACCTCCCAACCAAAGTAACAGTATTATTCTTCTTCCCCCATCGCGGATAACTCCCAACCTTCACGCCCCTCCCCTCAACCCTCCCCGCCAGCTCCGTAAGATAGCCCGCAACCTCACTCTCCACCATCGGCGTACTAATCAATATCCTCTTCATCCCCTTCTCGGGATCCTGCAACCTAGGCAACAAAATCGATCTCATCCCCTCCAGCAACCGTTCGAATAATCTCGGTACACCGGGTAAGATGTGGACATTCCCGTTTACACACGCGACTGGTACCCAGAGGTCGTCGCAGGGAAAGATAACTTGTTTGGAACCGGGGATGGAGGTGTCGGTGGGTAGCTCAATCATGCGGTATTTTGCGCGCCGTGCGGGCGAGTCGACGTCCCAAGAGAAATCTACTTGTGAGGGGTGGGGCTTGGAGAGTTTTTTCATTTTGGAGAGGACGGTGGGGTGGAGGATTAGGGGAAGGGAGAAGGCGGTTGCTATGGATTGGTAGGTTATGTCGTCGTGGCTACAATATGGTTAGTATATTTTGATTCAGTGGGAGAGGATGTTGGGAGTGAGAAGTGTAACTGGTAACTGGGGAATTATACATACGTTGGACCTATTCCTCCGCTTGTTACTACAAAGTCGTAGGTGTTGCTCATTCGACGGACAGCTTCTATGATTTCGCTCTCGTCGTCTGCAATGACTTCAATTCGTTTGAGTGTCTAATGGCGACGTGTTAATCCCGATTGGTATCTCACTGCCTAGAAGGATGCCATACCATTCCTAGTCCAAAACAAAATTTGGCCATGAAAGCGGAATTCGTCTATAGTATCCCGTCAGTGTCATGGCTACCTGTGAAGGTGTGATCATAGTGGTGTCTTCAGTAGACCGAGGAAGTCTTCGAGGAAATGAATCGTACGTCTACTGTCTATATGGCACAACTGAATTAGCTATCTATTCTCAATATTTACTTTCATCCCCTCTTTGGCACCCGGATACCATCTCGACAATCTTTAGGGTCCATTGCTTGTTCAATGACCATGAAGAGAGTTTTGCTTGTGACATCCGTACCTTCCCACCCAAAACCTCATCCCCAATGATCAAACATGCTGCAGTATGGATCATGCGAGAATTCCTCTCGTCGACAGTTGATGATGTCATGATTTGACTAGAGCGGATAGCCGCGGTTACAGCGGATGTGTGCAAGTAATTCGGGAGCGGCCGTGAGAAATGTCTTGCTAGTTGAGAGAGGCGGAACATGTAGTGTGGAAGAAGGAATGAGAGAAAATACAATGTTCGGTGGATGGTGTACCCGTACCGTACAGTAGAAGACGGTGTTGTCAGAGCTGATTAGTGAGGGGCTCAGGATTGGAGACGAGGGGTTCGCCCCACTTGGTCAACCAGACCTACCTAGCCAAAGCCAAAGCCAAAACCACAGAAGGCGAGTGGTAGAAGAGCGACGCAGCTGTGTGACGACAGACCTGGATGGAGAAGGAGGAGATGAGGTTATTAATAAGAATGGTGCTGTACTAAGTATGGAAATGGTGTCGATGGGTTTAGGGTTAGGCAAAGAGAAGTACATAAAGAAGGGGAATCCCTCTTGCTGGGCCAGTTTTCTACGTTGTTTCCCCAGCGCTTCTTCCCCTCGCTGGCTTAGGGAACCCTCAGCCTCCCGTCCCGCTGGCTTCGGCCAGCTTGAAGGCTCGAAGCGTGCCTGGATCGCAAGGCTGGACCATCCAACCGTCCCATCCATCCCGTCACCAAGCAAACTTTCGCATAAGGAACCTCTTTCCGTGGCTTTTGGGATGAAATGAAGACTCATCAGAATACACAGGTAGGAACGGGATCGCGATGAACCGATCCCGAGTGGCCCTGGACGGCGACATAGTGAATGTGCGGAAGTGGCCCAGACAGACAGACACTGAAAGATCATCGTCGTCCGGCATCTTCGGCATCTTCGCGTCCGCCGACTATCATCATCACCCACGGTCAAGTGGCCTCGACGTCTCTCGATCCCGTTCCACCGCTCTACTCGGACATTTTGGCCTCTAAAAACAGGTACATCCGAGTACTTGGCCCCACGGCAAATGCATCTTTCTGGCAGAGACTTCCTAAGGAAAAACAATCTGCGTTCCTCGAGGGTCCACCCCGAAGCGCGAAGGACGATAGCCCAGGGTCCGATGACTAAGATTGTGAGATGACGTTGGAACGCCCAACTCCCTTCACTGACTTTCACTTCTCGAGTTTGTTTACCTACAAAAACTTTCGTTCTGCGTGTATTCTCAAGCACTCCCGGTCGCCTTCCTAGACTAGACATATCCCCCCCTTTGGTACATTGGTACATCTGTTACATCCCGTTTGCCTCTTTCTCTCGTACTTGCATTTTTCCACACAGGCACAAGCATGTCGACTGCCGGCCCTGCCCATAGAGTTCAATCCGCCGTGGTCGAGTATGGATATCCTCAAGGCCACCTAGGACATCTGGGCCCCGAAGAAGAGGCTGCCTTCACGAATTTCAAGGCTCTATGCGCCGAGAAAGGATACTACACCGCAGGAGAGACGGCTGATCAGAACAGTCATGACGACGAAACGTTACTGTAGGATTCCCACGCCGCTCAGAGCTGCCTTTGCTTGGTAACCTAACATCCAACGCAGGCGGTTCCTCCGCGCGCGACGCTTCATCGTCGCAGACGCCTTTACGCAATTCAAGGACACAGAAGACTGGCGAAAGGCCAACCAGATAACACAGCTCTACGAAACTATAGACTTAGAACACTATGAGGAAACTCGCAGATTGGTATGCTGACACTGATCCCCTCTTCCAACAACCAACTAACCAAGCCAACCAGTATCCACAATGGACAGGTAGTTTATGTTCCATTGTTTGTCCAATTGCAATTCTAACCAACCCATAGGCCGGCGCGATCGTCGCGGAATTCCCGTCTACGTCTTCGAAGTCAAACATCTACACTCCAAAGCCATGGCCGCATACGAGAAATCCGCCCAAAAAACTCACACCAAAGCCCAAACTGACGGAAAGACCTCCCAGAAAATGCTACGACTCTTTGCATTATACGAAAATCTTGTTCAATTCGTCCTGCCGTTATGCTCACAATTGACCGATAGAGAGAATGCGAAAACACCCATTACGCAGAGTAATAATATTGTTGACATTTCGGGCGTGGGTTTGAAACAGTTTTGGAATTTGAGGACGCATATGCAGGATGCTAGTACCTTGGCCACGGCGCATTATCCCGAGACTCTAGATAGGATTTTTGTATGTTTCTCCTGGCCCTGCTCTTGTGCGAGACATGGTCGTTGCTCTGCGTACACCCCAAAGATATTGTGCTAGAAGTTTTGGAAGAATTGCCTCAGTTATTCCAGTTCTGAGCATCAATCGAGAAAGACGGTGGCCAAGTCTCTGAACGGCTCGGGTAATCAAGACGATGGCTCAAAGCTTGTTGGCACACTTTCAAGCTTACTCGGGTGTACGCGGAACAATAACCATATTTCGTGTACCTTTGAGAAAGATTTAACTTATTTGTATGAATGCTAATCTTTGATATCAGATCATCGGCGCTCCCGCATTCTTTCCTACCGTCTGGGGCTGGATCAAAAAATGGTTCGACCCAATCACTACCTCCAAAATCTTCATTCTCTCCTCGCACGATATGAAAAACACCCTTGAATCTTTTATCGATCCCAAAAACATCCCCAAAAAATACGGAGGCGAGCTGGAATTTCAATTCGGCGATATGCCTCTTCTCGACCCCGCAATGGCGAGTATCACCACCTGGGAAAATGGTAAAACGGATTTGGCACACGGACCCATGATTTGGAAGAAAGAAGGCGAATACTTACGAGCCGTGGCAGTGGGAAGTGAAGGTGAAGGGGGAAAGTTGAGAAGAGAAGACGTATGTCTAGTGAAGAGACCGCTGTTCGAACCAGAACCTGAAGCGGTTGTCGTCCCTCAAGAAAACGGTATTCTAGAAATCCCAATAGAGGCTCCGATTCTGAGACCGGAATTACTCACTGCACCTACGGAAACGGATCTCCCTAGTACGATAATGCCTACTGGACCACCTACCGAGGCAGCGAAAGCGGAAAAGGAACAGAAAGTCCCTGGTGATGGACCAGCAGTTTTGGATGGCACGAAGCCCGTGGATGCCGCTGCCGTGGGAGAAGTATTGAAGGATCTGAGTCTGGATGAGAAGAAGGAGGGCCTGGTTAATGGGAGTGTGACGGCGACTGCGCCCGTGGTTGCGCAGGGGAAGACGACGTGATCGATGTGTAGATACCCTAGTTAATAGAATGCTTTTGTTTCGGGGTGGGAAAACTTAATATATGGTGTGTTCTGGGGTTTTTGGGCTTTCTTATTTGGGGGTGTGGAGTGTGAGAATGTGAGAGTGAGTGTGAGGTAGTTGTTGGGGTTGGGGGTTGTATATAATGGGTGGGTGGATGCACCGTTACGGTGGACTGTTGTGGTAATACTGATTGATTATGCACAGTGCACAGATGGGGATTCTCTATTTACATACGGTACAAGTAAGGGGTAGCGAAGCGAGACTTGGCTGAGATGATTAGACGGGGCAGGCCAGGTGGTTGATTATAGACTTGTTGTATTTCTCGAGTAGAAGGGGTTTTTGAGGATGGGCTTGTTCTCTAGGTTTTGGGGTAGGTAGTGGGTTGGTGTTGGGTTTTGGATGGGAAACAGATATTTGGGGCTGGGGAGGGAGAAGGAGGAGAGGGGGAGAGGGGAAAGGGAGTGTTGGATAGATAGTTAGATGGATGGATAGGTTGATAGATGGATAAATTCCCCTATCTCTGTCTTCTTCTTTTCCTCCCTTTTTTCGCTGGTGATTGTGGGTTTCTGGGGGAGGGGAGAGAGGGGTTCTTTTCGTTCGTATTTAGTATTTTGGAGGTGGGAGATGGGTAGGTAGGTAGGTAGGTAGGTAGGTAGGTAGGGAGGGTATTGGGAGGTTGTTTACTGATGTGTGAGGTTTTGGTGTCTGGGTTTTCTTCCTTGGGGTTCTGAGGGATTGATTGATTGGGGGAGATGGGAGTAAGTGATGAGGTGAGGTGGGGAGGGAAGTAATTCATGATTTAGATTATGGGGAAATGGATATAGAGAATCCGAGGAGGGAGAGAGAGAGAGAGAGAGGAGG